TCTAAAACCAAAAWTATTAGGAAATTTTAACTTTTTATAAAAATATGGTGTAAATAAATTGAAAGTATAACTGAGTATTTAAAAATAACGCTACATTTCAAAGTATCTACGTCGGTGATTTGTTTTTTTTGTTTTAACTACAACAAAATTACAAAATTGGTTTTGTATATTTACATATGCTATACTTAAAAAAAAAAACAATTTTCTTAATTATTTGTTTTTTTGATCTTATAAACTTATAAACTCGGCAACTATGACCAATAGTTACAATTTAAATTTGGTTACAGTATTTACAGTTTGAACAAATATACATATATATYATATATATACATTTTTAGATAGTACAACCATTAAAAGTAAAGTATGGTTACATGGAATATAAAACTATAGTTTACATATTCTTAAATTAGATAGTAAAGACCTGTTGATTTCAAAAATTGTACCATCTTACAGTTCTYCTCGGTAATGGGTCCCAGTGCAACGTCAAGAATCATCTCTAGCTCAAAGATTTATTTATCTTGTTCATATTTGAGACAGTAGGTTATAATAATGTTTTACTGTTAGAAGTTAGTTAGACACCACAAACTTTGCAGGAGGTGGTGTTCTTCCTTTACCATAGGATAACCACACTGTCTATTCTCAATCGGTTTGGTACCAATTCTTCCTTTCTTTCTTTTTAAAGAATTATTAATCCATCTTTAGATTATGTTGAATTTGGTGGTTTGTTTTCATTTTTTGAGCCATTTATTATTATTTTTTCTAAATTATTAAGAAAAATACTTGACATTTTTGGTAATCTATATAGAACATTTTTTTGCTATACAAATCTCACGGTCGTAAATTGAAACTACAATTATTATTCAAAACTCAAAAATTACCTATCAACTGAGTATTAAGATTAATTATAACTGTTCGAAAAGCCATGTGTTGATTGGTTATTGTCTATTAATTATCATAATATTATTTACGACTAGAACATTCGATAACTATTTTTGATATAAATATATAATATACCTTTCAATTCGAAACTAAACATTATTTTATTCGCTGTTTACCGCGCACCACATTATAAATATTATACCATTATTTAAATTATTACGAAATCATAATCATTAAGACAATATTGCATGCATATTTAAAACACTATAGATAAGGAAAAATTTAATGAAACTCTAAATAACACAGAACAAAAAATACAATTTTTTTTAATAAATAGAGAAAAACAATGATTTTGTAACACTTAAAAATAAAATAATATAGACGTTAATATACATAGAATGTATATATACGCATATAGTCGTAAAAATAGAATAATATTAACAAGTAGTAGATTATAGACAGCTTAGATAGCTTATAATATAAATGATGCTTAATGCAAAATAAATAAATATAATTAAACTTGTAATATTGAGAGTATTGAAAAAAATCACAAAACAATGTTTGATAATTTCTCAGAGAGCTGAAGGTTAAAACACCAGATATATATCTTCATATTCCACTTGATTCCTCACTGAAAAACATAAGATTAGGTATATTAATATGAGTGTATTGTATGTAACCAATCAAAAATGCTATTGTATACAGCATATGATACGCCTCAGTGACCAATAGATAGTTGCATCATAGAACAGTTGAATAGATCACCCTCCCCCTACCAAAAAAAATACTTATCATACTTAGGGCCCCTGATTTAAATGTGTTTGTAGGCGATATACAAAACTTTAAAATAAAATACAACCCATTACAAATAATACAAGTGCCCCATATTGCATACACAATTTTTACATGATATAGGTATTATAATATACATTTATATTCCAAAATATTATTTAATATAAAATAAGTATTTCAATCAAAATTTCAAAAATTATAAATTCATTTAAACTATTTCTTAATAATAACAAATTATTACTTACTCTTTGTTCTTAGAGCTCAATTCTACAGCTTTATTCAATATAACACGCATTTCAACATTAGGATAATTCTGCAAAAGTTTGACGATTGTTGAAAAATCTCCTGCCAGTATTTGGTCTCTGATTAAACTATACAAAAAAGTGTGGTTTGTATTAATATTAATCTTTAATATAATAACTTATGCATTATTTAATATCATATGTTTGAAATTAAATCAAATATAAATAATAATAAAACTATATTTAACTAATTATATTTATGTGTAAATTGGTCTGCCAACTACAAAAAGATAGGCTACATTGGAAGTGAATGTGTGCTCACCAGGGATCAGATTAAAGTTGTAAATATTTAAAAAAAATAAATGATGCTGTATGGGGGCTACGTCATGTGAAAACAGTACGTCTCCAAGCGGTGATGCACAAAAAAAAGGCTACCTTGGTAGTCTTGTAAAAAGTTAAGAATTTTCTGTTAACTAGTATTTAGCATACWTAGCTCTCAACAGAATTAAGGTAATGATTAAAATATGAAATGAAATTATAATTTATAACTTTTAAGTTACACAATTCTTTGTAGAGAATGATTATATAGCTAAAGCTAAATTAATGACCAAACTAACTATACAATAAAGCAGAACTTTCTGAAACCTTACAAAAATTCATTACAGTAGCAGTGAAAACAATATTAAAATAAATGAAATATGGTACATTATTAAATAGGCTTTGGTGAGGTCACTTCTACTACTCTCCTCTAAATTATTTATTAGTAATAAATTACTAAATATTATTGTAATACCCAAATCAAACTTACATTATCATTGCACAACATATATCAATGAGAAATGAAAATCTCTGTGAATCAGAAAACAGAGAATCCCAAATCCTTAAGACTTCTGGCAGTGAAAATTCTTGAGACAATAACAGAGTTAACCATCTAAAAAAAAAAGGAAGGCAAACAATAAAATAAATAATGAATAAAACACAAAAATAATCATAAAACACCTTACCTAAAACTATAATACTGAGGATAAATTTCATTTTTGACTAAATAACTATGAACAACTGGATCATTTTCTTTCAACCTGTCAGTTACTTTACGCATCATATTCACAATTCCAGTGTCTGTTTCATCTAATGTCTTTATGAAAAAATCACGAATTTCTGACATGAGATTAGTAAAGACAAAAAAACAGTCAGCCTCAGCATGCTCTAAAAATGATTAAAAATATAAAATAAAGTAGCTATTTTAGATAGTTATTTTTGCAGCATATACATTTGAATACTGTTATGTTGCAAAAAAACAGCATATTTTTTATAAATCAATACATAACACAATAAACACTACATAAAAATAAATAACTGAATAGGTTTTATATAGATGATAAATAATAAAAAATCAGTATTATTTAAAAATTTGAATRCTATTATTTTGTTATACATAAATATAAATAAAAAAATACTGACTAACATGAGGTTAACTATATTATATGTTATTAGCCTAATATATATATAATCAATGTGGGTAAATTACACATAAATATATTGAATACATAAAATTTAATATTTTACTTCACCTTTCATTTTAATAATTGGATCAGTAGCAAAACAATAATAAATTGGACCAATTATTTCATTCATGCCTTGTACATAACCCTGTCCAGGATTTAATTTGCAATAAACAAACAATATCCTTTCTACCACCTCCCAATGTGCTTCAGAACCTTCCTCCAGCGGCTTGAATTCAGAAGTACTAGTTTGTTCAGATTTTTGTGATATTTTAACAATACCAAGACCTTTTCGTACAACATTTGCACTATTAAGAAAATGCATACCCACTCTCCTGTTCAATCGTTTAGTACCACAACTGTATACAACAATAGGTAATGGATAATCAGTTGCTTGTTGGAAGAAAGATAATTCAGGATGTAATCGCCTAAAATTTAGAAAATAACTATAAATAATTACTACATATTCTAAAGATTGATCCTATGCATTATGATTACCTGACATCTTTATCTATTTGTGTAAGAGCTTGATTATCCTTAAAAAATGTATTCCACTTGCTATTGGGATCCTCACTCAATGGATGATCACATTCTTCATTATCGATTGAACCCGGAGTGACTAATATTTCATCTGGATAATTTTAATATGTAGTAATTAATAAACCATTAATTATATTCTTGGATGATCTTTCGAAAAAATAAAAATAATATTAATATATACTTTTTGTTAAATTTATAAGTTGCCTTTTTGATCTATCCTAAGTCTTAATGCATAAAAAAAAAAAAAAAAAGAATTGTGCATGTTCCTAATGCCTCATGACTTTATTTGTTATGACTAATAAATTGTAGCACTTAATACTGCTATATTATACTATAATACCTAAATAATAAATATAATAATTTAAAATACCTAACCACTGCTGGTATAATTTTCTATGGTGATCTAGTTGTTCATCCCATTTATTTCTATTGCATGGTAAGTAATTAAGCAACAACCTCCAACATAATGATCTGTAACCTTTAACGTCAGGGATACCTGTAAAAAATTATATCAAACGTAAAATACAAGCTACTAGAACATGATCAAAACCTAACCTACCATTGAAACAAAACTCTCTCAGTTTTGATAGATCRATCACTTCTGATTCTAACACTTGGTCAAGATCCTTCAACCTAGAAAAAATTATTTTATTCACTCATCTAGTTGGTTATGTTAGAATATTGTACCCAAAATGTTTTAAGGTTTACCTCAAATCGTAGGAAGACATTGTGAACAGAGATTGTCAGACRATTTTCTGAGGACCTTAATTTGACCGGATTAACATTTAAACACATACCAGACGTCAAATGATAAATGTTTTATCCAACTAGGCAACTAAAGAGACCGTTAGAGATTAAAAAAGGTCTGGCTATGGCATGAAATTTAGATTATTATTAATACATAATATTACCATACGTCTACGGTTTTTGTTTTATCAAACGTTTCGAAATCACAACATGGTTATCTTATCACAAATAACAAGAAAAAACAAAAAAGACTGTTTATTCTCTGAATAATAAGTGACACTGTCAACTGTCTGTCGTCTGTGAGTCGTGACTCGTGACTTGGTGAGTACTTAGTGTGACTGTGACAGACGTGTCGTGTCTCTTGTGCGACTGTGTTATGTCTCTCAGTGGCAGTGTGACAGTGACTATATTGTTTATATTGAATATTTAGAGGCACGTGAGCAGTGAGCACGTCCTATCATAAACAAAAAATTCCTACACATTCGTAAATTTTAATATTTTTAAATGTAGATAAACAAATAAAACAATACATTTTTATTTTCCACCCCCACTGAACGATTTTCTGTAAAACTGTCAAATCTGTTTTCATTATACTATCGTAGTCGAGCAGACAGTAAGAGTAATTTATTTCCATGGTAAACTGGTAAAGGTACTAATGAAACCAACCAACTACAAATTCATAGGAACGCTATTTTTCAATTTTTAATTAAAATGGACTGCGAAGAAGGCAGTGAACCTTTGATGTCCTTACCGACGTTGATAAATGTAAAAAGTGAGTACCATGAAGGTTTTACTTTAAAGTGTTAGGTAATTTATAATAAAAAGTAGGTATCTAAAGCTCTGAAGTTCATTGTATATAATTTTTGTAATACCATATATAGGTGCCATACTGTCATTAATATGTCAATAATAATAATATGTTGTATTACAGCACGAGAATGCTATGATGTCTTGAAGAGAAAGATTCATCTGATCGGTCGTGCTGGATTTGGTGCTGATCTAGAAATATCAAACGATACTTCCATAAGCCGTTGTCATGCAGATCTCATTCTTRAAAAAAAAGTACAAGTAGTACCTACAGATTGTTTCATTGGTACTTGATACTCTAAATAACTAAAAGTGTTGATTTGTCATTTTAAATTTTAGGCAGTCGGCAGTACAAAAAAACTATTTTTGATTCTTGTTGACAAGAAATCAAAGTATGGAACATTTATAAATGCTATGGAGGAAAAAATTGAAAGTAATTGCCCTAAAATTTTAAAGTTGGGTGACAAAATTCGTTTTGGTATAATGGATAGCATTTGGACGTGAGTAAATCTCAATAATTATAAACTACCATTTTTTATGTATATATATAAGAAATATACAATCTGTACTCTGAGGTACAATAAGAATATGAGTGACATGAATGAATTTTTGGAAGAAGCCATCCAGTAGTGATACTTCCTATTGACTTAAACTATCATTTATTATCATAAATTACTTCTATACAGTTTTAAAGTTTTTAATAAACTATGTTACTACTTACAAAAGGTATAATATACATCAATATTTATTTTATTACAGTGTTGAGGAATATCCTTTATTAGTTTGTCCATCAACATTGAAATCTTATGAGAAAGATATGTTGACACGTCTGGTGACAAAACTTGGGGGACGAGTTGTGCGTAATTGGTCTGAAGATTGTTCACACCTCTGTATGAATTCTGTCACTGTTACAGAAAAGGTACATTATGCCTGTTAAATTTGTTAGACTTACCTAATTTATATTTATGTTTTATTTTTTACATTACTGTTAGAGCTCGGATGTTTATGACTGTATATTTTTTCCGCAAAACCATAATTATACCCAAGTATGATATAAATTTGATTCATGAAGTCAAATAACTAATATGTAAACTTATTTCGAATACTTTTACATATTTGAAATTGTTGAGTATATAAATGCATATATTTCTAGATAATTTATCATATACCTATATCATAAATTATTAGTACAATATTAAAAATTGTCCTTATTATTATCATTTATCATTGTTAATTTATTTTATTTCAATAAAAAAAATCATCGCTAATATTATTGTGTTTATAAGTAACACACTCATAAAATAAGGTGATTAGATTTATAAACCAACAGTGCAGTGGCTATGGAAACTGACAAAAATTTTATCAGAAAATTGCTAAATTCAAGTATGCACCTCTGTAGACKTGAAGATTTTTGAAGACGTCGTTTTTGATTTGTATTAACATATTATCGGATTGTCAAAGATCTTTCAAATTTTAAATTATCAAAAAATAATTGTTGTACAGTGTAATTCTGATACTTATAGGTCTTAAAGTACTATACCTATATAAAATTTAATTTTAATGGATTGGCAACTAATTTATCATTTTTTTGTGTATTTTGTAATAAAGTAATTTTAAATCAATGTTTAAAGAGTGTATAATTTTTTTTTTTCATATATTTGTTAAAAAAAAAATTGTTATATTTAATATAGTTGATAGCATATAATTGCATATTGTTACTTGACATATTGGTCATTAACACCCAAGCTCTAGTTATAATATTACTTAAGTGTAAACTAATTGTTATTTAGTACAATACAATAACTGAAAAAAAAATGTTTAGAAGATCCAAGTTTTTTTTAATATAGATATTGGAGGTTCATTCTCATTACATTCAAAATGTATAAACTCATCATTACTGCTTTAAAGAAAATATTATAATCTTAATAATATTTTTTTTTTTTCATGGTAGCAGGACTTATTTTTTTTAATGTGTTTTTGATTCACCAATGTTTATTGAAAATATGTTTTCCTTAGATCATATTCTACACTGTTTGTTAACATTTTAGTTACTTTCAGGTGTTATTGTGTCTAGCATCTGGAAAATCAATAGTACCCATAAGGTATTTTACTGATTTATGTAGTGGATTGACAGTTAATTTGTCGTTGGAAATACCGTACTGCATGGATTACACGCCTAAATTGATCGAAGGTCTTTTAAATCCAAATTCATTATCCTTAAATGTAAATAATAAACGTAAAACTCTATTCTCTGGAAAAACATTTATATGTTCTACAGTTAATCAATTAAATCGTCTTTCAAAATTGGTAAAATTAGCAGGTGAACATAGTTTTACAACAAATTTAGTTTATAAAAAGTATAACCTTGTATTTTGTTATTTAGGTGGAGAAATTATGAATTATTCTGATGGAATTTTGTCTGATAGTGATATTTTAAATGATACAAAATATATTCTAATGCAACAAGATCCACGCTATAAGGAAGATAATAATACATACCAACAAATTCTGGGTAATTTATCCTTGATGTCTGTAAAATATTAATAGCCGATTGATAATATGTGGAAATGTTAAAATGAATGTATATCATTTTTAATTGGTTGTTGTTCAGAATCAGAACTAAAATTGGAGGATTTAACTATTGTTATTTATTGCATATATGAAAACTATTAATTTATAAAGCTGTAGATCTAGTTTAAAAACAATTTATTAAGATAGAATGAAAAATAGTTTGTCTATTTATATTTCTCATTTTTAGTTTAAAGAAACAATAGTCCAATTTAAGTTGATAAAAACTAGACTGTTAAAATGAAATGTACAAATGTAATTTTTTTCCTTTTTATAGCTGAAATAGTGGTTACAGTGTGAACATCATTTTTTTCCTTTTATTGATGTTGTTTTTATCAGAAATTTATACTAAAATACACAGCATCATAATAACCCTTACTATAAATATTAATATATAGTGTCATTTTCATGATTGAGTCATAATCCTTTGTGGCAAACCTAGTTCAAAAATCAATTAATTAATTATTTATTTAATGTAATAGCTAATTTACCTAAGAAATGTTTTAATTTAATTTTTTTTTAATCATTTATTATTAAAATACACGATCTATAAATATTATTTTACAATAAGCGTATGTGATGAAGGTGTCATGACTAGGTGACTGGAGGTAAAAAGCCGCACATTGTAGGCACTTAAGCGTGGGAGTTTATTTTAATGTGCTGGTGAGAAAGAGTGAGATTGAATACAAAATAAAGGGGAGGTAAAAGTACATACATTTTAGTTAAATAGGTCACAACAGCAGGTACATTTAAGACGCCTTCTGAGATCACCAGGAATAGCATTGGTGGATAATTCAGAAATCAAGGGATTACAATGGCTGTGGAATTTAGAGTGTGTTTGTAGAAAGTTTTTGCGACGTTTTGGACTGTTGGAATGGTTAGATCTTTGTTTAGAGTGTCATTAGGTAAAAAGTAGGGGGCTTTGGTTATTTGGTGGACACATTTTAATTGGAAGACGGATTTTGTTTAAGTTGGACGTTTTGGCTGCACCCCAGAGTTGGATACCGTATGTCCAGATYGGGTTGAGAAGGAGTTAAATGTTTTAATTAATTCAAAAATTATTATGTTTCATTTTTATTGGTTTTAGAAAAACTGAAGATGGTGAACAAAAGATCAATACCAGAAAATGATATTGGATTTGCCATTATTTTTTCAAATACTACAAAACATTGTAACGCTAATTTCAATGTTTCTTTAGTTAATCTTGAATCTCAATCTAATGTAATTAAATCACAAAATTCCATTATCTTGGCTCCTGAAACTGAGGTACTTAAATAGTGTAGTTATATTTATACTAAAATAAAAATAATTTTGATCATTTTTTTATATTTCAGGTTTTAACTGTTAATGATGGTGAATTATTTTCAGCTAATACCATCCCAGATTCTTTTCCAAATACCATACAAGATTCTCTTCCAAATACCATACCAGATTCTCTTTCAAACACACAATGTGCTTTTAAAAGGTATTTAATTACAAACTAATTTGTATTTTAGATATTTTTTTATATTCTTACTAACAATTTTTTAGACGGTTAGAAGTATCTGACTCTGAAGAAATGCCAACAAAACGTTCCTTATTGGAAAATAGTAAACAAAAAAATAAAGATATGCAATCAATAAGAATAGAAGAGGGCTTAAAATTGTTTCAATGTGTGATTGAACCAACTCCATCCAGTAGTAACCATAACGTTCAAAGCCCTGCACCTAAAACCCAAACTATTAATAACAGTTTTACAAATGATAATTTGTGTTTAACCACAGTACTAAAGTCTCAAAACAATTCTAATGCCAATAAATTGTCAGCTTGGCTTGAAAACACTGTAGCTGGCGATAATGAGCACAATACTAATAATCTACAATCAACAACTGCTGAAATCCAGGCTGTTCCTACAAAAAGGAATGTATCAAATGATAACCTATTGTTTAATAACGAAAACGAAGATCCATTCAACTATATGGATATTGATGAAGTTGAAGAGCATCCAAAAATAAAGCGAAAGAAAAGAGATATGGATTCATTATTTTTTCCTATAGTTAACGCATCATCCAGCAATAAAAGTGAACCATCTAAAAATGTGGAGACTAATGCCAATGTAGCAGTAGATCCAAATTTCATTATGAATTTACTCTCCGAGGCTAAAGGTACTGGACAGTTTATAGATGCAAGTATGCTGCATAATAAATCGGTGAGAAAATATTTAAAATTGGTAATGATATAATGTACATAATATGTGTAATACCATTAATTTTTCTAGTATTATATACTATTATTTATAGTCAGTGGTAACTGGTAATACATTAATCAATTTATGAATATTTCAGTCTACTAATACACATGAAGATACTGAATCCGATAACTTATTAAATTCGGTCATTGTAGAAACTGTCAGTATGGTGGTATCCAGACCTACACAAACCGCTAACATCATTCAAGGAAATAATAGTAATCTTAAGAACTTCAAGAAATTCAAGAAGGTAACAGTTAAACTCGCGGGGAAAAAGTCTTTCGTAAATTTATATTATATTACATATAAAATGATTGCATAATAATATCATTGCCAATTTTCAGATGGAAATACTGGTTAGATAAAATAATAAACCTATTATAAATAGGCCATTACTGTTTTTGAATATTTATCTACTTATATAGGCCTAGATAGAGCCTTATTAAAATCAGAATTAGGTTAATGATATCTAAAATATGTAAATACTTGTTCTGAATTTTATAAAATATAGAAAACTTAAAAGAAATTTGAAATATTGGGAGCCAACAATTATTTAGTATCATTCATACTATTTATTTAAATAATTTAAATTTATTAAATTAAATTTTAATATTTTATATTTAAGATAAAAATTTCATAAACAGTTTATATGAGTGATCATCTTTAAATACCCATATATTTACAATTTACCCCATATATATCTTGAATAAGATTTTCAGTTTAAATTGATATTGTGTTTATAATTTTATGTTTTAGAAAGGACCAACCATGCGTATTCCATATATTGTTCCAATGGAATTCACTCAAATTGATTAAAATGGCTTTATGTTAATCAATTAAAAATTTAATTATTTCTTATTTAAGTTAGGCTTTGATGAATTATAATGTTTTTACTTGTTTATTTATGTGTACAAAATATATTTATTTAAATTAAATTAAATGTTTTGTATATAGATCATGTGATGTTTTGTTGAGTACTACTTAAAATAAAAATGTACTTTGTAGAATCAGTATTTTTGACTCTTCATGTTGAGTATAATATCATTTAATATAATACTGGATTCTACAATTTTACGTAAGGTATCATTATCACAGCTTACAAACTCCATTTCCACACCGGGAGCACCTAAATAAAAATATACATTTTTTGATTAACTTATTTTTTATATTTATAATAGTCATCCATACCATAGATTATATAAAACTTTATATAATCTGTATCCATACCATGTAATTCACATAGTTGAATTAAACGATTGATTACTTGTTTAAAGTTTTTAGCATAAGTGTATTGTGTACAACATAAATTCTAATAAAATTATGCTATTAATTTGTTTGTAACAATAACCATATATTATAAAGATTTAAAAAAATTATTATTTATACTTCATACATACAATAAACCTAAATATGATCATCCCTGAACAAACATCTAATTATATGAACCAATGATTAAGAACCTAATATTTATTTAATTTTCTGATTTCAAATTTACCTATTGATCTAATTAATATTTCCAGTCATAAAATGAAAATGGTTCAATATTTCATTAAAATGTAAGTAACATACATGTTCAATGATATCATAGAGAAATAGATACCAATTTATGAAACAAATGTTTTGTTAATTTTTACTTTTTTTAATAGGCATATTATAAATTATATTTTGCTGTCAAAATTTATATTTGACCCTCACAGATAATTCTAATTATAGTACTTATTTAGTCTGTTGCCATCGTTAATTGATGAATAAAATTTGCATATTTAATCAGTTTAAATCATATTATATACGATATATCTATAAATAATATAACTTTTTCTTAAATCTTAGTGAATGATAATACATCTGACTTTAAGTTAGATTTGAATGCAATGATAAGTATTCATTGTATACGAAAAACGATTCTGAACGGAGATGATTTGTCAGTCTAGGTTATATTATATTTAAATATTGTCATATTATATTCTAWTTTGAAACAAATATTTTATTTTTCAATTAGGACGCATTTTGCATAAKGCATGGTTAATCAATTTTTCCAAAAACATTGCATGTAGTTATCATAATTCAGAATACCTTATATTATCATTGATGTATATATAACTGGTTTGAGGATAAATCGTATCGTTATTCGTTACGCAATTTCGTGAAAATTTAAAACAAACGCTCAAAACATTTTTGCTATAATGACGCTTCAAATTTCCTTTATAGATATTTGAAGGAAAACTTACGCAAAACTTAGTGTTGTATTTTTAATCCTAAGTTATAAACACTAAATTTTTTATGATTTTTCAACTTCAAAATTACTTGCAAATTTTCGCGTTTATGACAGATTTCGTAAAAATTTGAACTATAAACGCTTATGAAAAAAAATTGTGACTAACGATTTTTAATTTTTTTTAGCTACAATAAGAACAACTCATAAGGAATCTTGTATTAAATTTTCAAGTTTTTTTGGTCATCCAAAATTGTTTACCTTTACCGACACTTCAAAAAAAAATTTTCAGTAAAATTGAAAATTTCAGTTGTCTCTAAATAACTCAATTGAAAATTAAACTGTATATAGATATCACTAACATAAACATTTGGAGAAAATTTCAAGTATTTACAGTGATTAGTTTTTGAATTACAACCATATAAAAAAATCGATTTGGTCGATAACTGATTTTGCGTAAAWATTCCCGTTTTTCTGTCATTTTTTTTTTGTTTTTTTTTTTAAACTGTTGGAAAATGTTTTCTTTTGACCTGTATAAAGCTCCAAGGATATTCAATTTCCCATCGGAAACCACCCCCAAAGTTTGAAATTGAAGCATTATTTCAACTAGTTATGCAGTTATGCTGTACACAGACACACAAAAAAAAAACACACATCATCGTAAAATCAATACATTCATCACTCCGTTCAGAATCTAAAAGCGGGGAAGTAGATGTTATTGTGCTGTACAGTAGCCAGCAATAGGTTACAAGTGGGTTACTGTAATGGATGGTACCTATTAAATTTGAATTCAATGATATAATATTATCGTATACGAAAAACGATTCTAAGCTGAGATGGTTTGTCAGTCTAGGATGTTTATTATACTATAATACTATATTGTTATTATTTTAAATAAAAAAATGTACTTAATTACCCATAAAATAAATTCTAATAATATATAAAACCGATTTTGTGTAAAAACTTCCGTTTTTCCATTTTTTTTTTTTTTTGTTTCTTTGACGATTTTGAAAATAACTGGGAACTTTGATCTATCCTCCAATGCACTAACTATATAGATTCACTTTTCAACAGGAAAAGCTACTAGAGTTAAAATCGAAGCATTATATTTCGACAACACACACACACAAAAAAAAAACATTTTAAAATCAATACATTTATCGCTCCGCTCAAAATCTAAAATTATTATGTTATAATTAATAAATTTTTTATGATATAAATAGACAATGAATTGAGAATGGGTGGTAAACATAGACATAATGTCTATGACTATTATGTCTATGGTGGTAAAGTTAAAGTTCCATCAAGTTGATTTTTGAAAACATTTGTGATATCACTAGGACCTAACAGCCAACAGGCAAGTTGTTAGGTTAGGTTAGCTACCTGGCAAGGCGCTAAAAATTTTTTTCCGTGAGGTGCTGAGTGTAGTCGATATATTTTGTGCGATGGCTAGTTTTTTCAAAAACCACTCATATACATCATTTAATTAATTTTAACGTTACATAGCCATTATAGCACACAATTAACTTTTWAAACACTCAGTACCTAATTTTTATATCATAAGTTCTATATAGGGTATGTGTATGAACTTTTAAATAATTAACAGAACGTATGGATGTGTTTCTATTTTAATTTAAATAGGAATTTATTTTTACAAAGCTGTAACTGGCTACATTAACAATAATGAACACATTTGACAATATTTTTTTTTACTTCTATAACATATACCTTGTTAACTGTCAACTTTATGACTGAATATTTGTGTTACTTTTAACTTTTATGTTTCATTTTTAATCTTTTATTTTGTAAATATAAATTAAAATGATTGACAATTATATTTAATATTGGGCAGAAGAATTTGACTAATTTTGGGCAATAAGTTGAGGTGACTATTTATCTTTGTTTCCATTCTATAATTGATACATCATTTACAGTAAATGCAATAATAAAATATTTTTTATTGAAATGGGCTGAAATATTTTTAGAGGGAGCTAAAGTCCTTCCTCCCACTTCCCCTTTGAGTCATGCATCCAGATCATCCAAAATATTTAAGGTGTTTGCGCCACAGATTTAAACTACTTATTCAATAATCTGAGTAGAATATATATTTGTACTGAATTAATTAATATTTAATAAATATTTGGGCTTTTTTAAAAATTTAATTGGATTAAGATAGGAATATATATATATTAAAATATAAAAATACAACTTACAATCTGTAAACATTTGAAGTGTAATAGTAGTAAATTATTTGGGCATACCATAGTTTTGAAAATGATCCCATTGTTCTAGGGCCAATATCAACGGTTTAATTCCTTTATTTTCATTGTTTTCAACTATGTACTCAAGATGGCAACGATCAATATCATCCAAAACCAACCAATTAAAAAATATCTCTTTGAGTTGAGAAACTAAAGATAAAATTAAATTCTTAATATTTTTAAAATATTTGTAATTAATAGGTAGGTCTTACTAAAAGGTATAAGATCTGTTAATGAAAAGTTTTGGTAAGTAGACATTTTTACTACATAATATGATTGTTGCTAGATAAATTATTATACTACATAATTGTTACTATGTAAGTTATACAGAAAATAAATCCATAGATTCTAAAATATTTATGATGCCTTTGTAGACAGTAATTTGATCCTAGAATAAACATTTTTTTTTTCTTTTTAATATAAAAGAAAAATTTTATTATCCCTGGTAAGAGCAAATGACCATAAAATTAAAATTAAGACTGATACAGACTTTAATTTTTGTATTGATATGATGTCTGGTCGGAGTCATAGGGTAATAGTCTGAGTACTCGAACATTAAAAAACAAATTGTTTTTATCTATGTAAAAGTAGGAAAATATTGTGTATAATAAATTAATATTTCTATATAAAAATCAGTAACTTACAATTTAAGATTTACTTACCAGTATATAAATTAAAATTAAGTTTATAACATAATTTTATCGGGATAAATAGGATAATATATTACCATTGGAAGATTTTAGTTGATCATTAAATGATAATATCAAATCACTAACTATGACCAAAATAAAATAAAAACAACATTTACATAAATTCAAATTAAAATTTATTACGCCTTAGCAACTTTAGCAACTCCTGTCTTTTTTTTTGGACAATAAGTTTTGTTGAATAGTGCTTGGTAGACATTAGTCCTGATCTTGTTTCTGATTTTTCTTGCTCTCTTAAGCTTGAATCTTTCAAAATCACCCAAAGAAGCACGCTAAAATCAACAAGATTTTAGAAATATAATCCAATATACTACTATACATTATGTTATATAATTTAAAATGTTTACCTTCTCCCTGTTGGCAGCTTTTTCTGCCCATCTACTTTGAACCCATAATTTGTTTAAATCAGCTTTTTTCCATGCTTGACGAACAGTCCTGGTTGATCCATTGTAAGGGAAATTAATTTTAAACTTAGTCAAGTGGATTTGGCTAATACGCATCTTTGACCTCGGTACTCCTGTTTCTGGTCCATCTACCAAAACCTATGAAATATAAACAATTGAATATCATGGTGTTTTTAGATGAATTAGTTTAAAAAAATAAAAAATTTATTTACAGTTTTTTGATCAATGCAGTCGACTATTGAAACAATTTTGCCTTTGTATGGACCATCAACAACGTAGACCACTCGGCCAGTTTCAACAAACCTCTTGAAAGGCTATAAAAGAGAAATTCATAATTCTAATTGAATACAAAATTYATCAATTGAAGTTGATGCTTTATTAATTTGTAAACAGTAATAATATTAAGCATTTCTATTGATATACATATTGTCCTTTAAATTAATTTTAGCCAAAACTAATAAGGTTAATGCAGTCAATGAATATGAATTAATTTTCAACCTGTGATCAACATAAGACACAAGAAATATTTGAATATAAGTAAGACATCAATATACATTATCCTAGTCGAAATATCGGAAAACAGACAATCATAACCCATAGATTGTGTTGTAAAACGAGGTATTTAATATTTATATTGATAGGTACATATCGTTCACGAAATACCTACGAATTGCACGGATGCGATTAGCTGTTGAATATTATAAAAAAAAAAAACGATTCGAAAATTTAGTTATGAATCCGCAAATATCAGATATATATTATTCTATATAAATTAAATAAACTTACCATTTTTCCGAAATATTGTTCAGTTACACGTTGATTGTWGAACCTAAAAGAATGAAAAACTAATAGTTTGGAACTGAGGTGCTAAGAAGACGATCATAACCTCACATTAACTGAAAAGAAAAAGAATACAACAGGGGCTTCATGGAACATAATTAAACACGTGTCGTTTCATCCATGATATTAACAACAACAAAAAAGTCTGAAAGTGGATATTGTGGTTATTAACGAGTAACGACACGGTGACACGGTTGCACGAACTCCCAACAGTCCCAACAAAAATAATGAAATAAACCTACAAGTGTATACATTTAACCAAAGAACAGAGATTATTTTATATTTATATATCTGTAGAGTACTTGAATACATCCATAGAAGAAGATCAAAGGGGCCTATAGTGCTATAGAGGCTAACCCTCCAACTAAAAAAAATATATCCATTATTTTTATGATTATTCAATATATTTATTATTATTTATTTATTACATTACGGTCCTCAAACACACAAGCGCTATTTGTGAATATGGTTACTACTGAGTACCTATTCTGTGTTGAATCCTGATGTTCTTTACATAATTTGTACGTCTATACTGCAGTGTACAGTTACACAATTGCACTGTGTTGAAAGTGTCAAATTTAAATTAAAAGATTGAGATTGTCGATATTGATATATCATTGTACTCAAACAAAAAATGATTATAATTGGAGACAAGAATATTACATTTTATATTATATTTATAATTTATATCAGTATAATTAGCAATTTCTTTTACTACCCATCATTAGTATCATATGGAACTATGGAAATATTATATTTTTATATTATTAATATTGAAGTATTATAAATCATAGTATTATACTAGTGGCGTGGGTATTTAAGATTTTGTCAAGGGAGTTACATACTTTGGCAAACATTTAATTTCGCTATGGGGAAGGGGTAGTTCACTTCAGTGGCGTGCAGACAAAACACAAATGGGGCCTGGGCCCCACTTGAATGTGGGGTGGGTGTGGATTTATTTTTATTTTTTTATTTAATAAATATTGTGTTTTCATATAACTGTAGAGAGGCCCCTAATAAAACATATATTATTTGTAACTTTTAGTTTTAGGTGGGTGGTGGGTGAAAAAAATTAGCTTTGCCCCACATGGAAAAAGAGATCGTGCAGCCACTGGTTCACTTACCATCGACATCACAATATTATATTTATAATTAGAAGTAACAATAGCAAATAATAGATCAAGGGGAGATCCATCCCCTGATGGAAATCGGAAGGTTAGGTAAAACTCCTCGGGGAAAAAAAATCCCTCGACGTACGACCACAGAAAAATAATTCCCGACCTCTGGAAAAATATTCCCTATAACTCATAACCACATGAAAATTATTTTAATATTGCAGAATTACAAATATAGGTATATTTTATATTATCCTTTTCATTCAACAAATTTATATATTACATAACATTATAAATATATTTAAATAAATTCAAAATATATATTTCAATTTCAAATGACTGAGCCAATATCAGTTATCAATATGATATAAAATATTCTAGGTGGGTAATAATACTAATAATAATTAATAATACATCTATACTCATACTAGATTTTTAATTGTTAAATAATAGTATATAAAAATATTTTGAATTATTGAATAGAAGTTGAATATTTAAATTTATATTGAACATTTAATAAAGTTCTTATATCTTATGCATTATCGTCAAAACATTATATAAAACGTAATATTTTATATTGGAATTTGGAGTACTATTATATTAACTTTTTGAATGACAAGTATTATATATAATATATACCTATAAAAAAAAATCATTTTTATATGAGTATTAATCAGGCCCGTACTGGCAACTATTTTGGAGCGGTTGCAAAAACATTTAATAGCATTGGTAGTCTATATAACTAATAAGTAATAAGTAAAGGATCATTAGGTGTCGTGTGGATCACTATAGTCTGTAATGTAAGTTGTTAAATTCGAATTCAATGTTTATCAGGGTGATTGTAAACTCCGCCAGAATATCGGTCGAGATAAAAAGGTAATAATAGGTCTATGGTRAACTCCGCCAGTTTTTTTTTCTTACCTATAATGGGTATATGTAAACTCCGCCAGTTTTTTTTTACCTGTTCAGTGCGACTGCTCTCGCATTGCCACGTGCCTTCTCACATTAAATACATTTACATCTATTGTGATGATATATGTCAAAATTGATAAAATATTGTCAAGGTTAGAGCGATTCAAATTATTAATAGTTTTATCTTCATATTATCTGAAATCAGGATTTTCAATGATGATATCGGCTGTAGGCTCATAATGTGAACGATATGATATKATATTATATTATATTWTTTTTTTTTTTAAATATATCATATTGATTTTATACTACTATTTGATTTTCTTCACTGGCGGAGTTTACATGAACTCAATTTTACCTGATTTTTTTTCAGTGGCGGAGTTTACATGAACCCAATTTTACCTGTTTTTTTTTTCTGGCGGAGTTTACAGTAAAAAAAGGTACTTGTGGCGGAGTTTACATGCGCCCGTTTATCATTGTACACGAAAAATAATTCTGAGTGGAGACGGTCTGTTAGTCAGCCTATATATAATATGTTGTATAAGAATAATTAATATTAGGTTTTAAGCCATGAACTATTTATTAGAAAATTTGTTTTACATTTTCAATTCTTTGTTATACAAATTAAAAATTTTAGAAGCTTTTAATTACAAACAATTTTTGAGATTTTGATAGTTTATCAAATTCCGAATTTAAAATAATTATAATAATAAAAATCGTGTCTTTGTATATTTAATATTTTTTACTGGTGAGGAAACTTGTATTCAATTTTAAAACTTTCTGATCCAACGATAAAATAATAAATATTTTATAATATTGTTATCGATGATCAATGAGGTGTAACCTAACCGTGTAACTTTGTATGGTTTAACGTATGTTATACTTATATTTTATAAATTATACAATACATAATACATATTATAAATATTATGCTTACATATTTCATAAAAAATGTATTATTTAAGTGGCCAGGCTTAAAACTTTAAATTTCAACTGTTCAGTTTTAACAGAAAAAATAAAATCCTTTCAAACCTTAATTTAAACGTAATTTTTATGAGTGCAGGGGCCGATTATGCATTGTAATTTTCAAATGCACATCGTGCATCTGCTTGGTTGCCCGGTGGGCCAGTATACTGGCCTGATAATAATGTAATCTGCTGATTTTTATTCCGGGATTCCTATCCCCTATATCCCCTCGTACATACGCCATTGTATTATGCAATATATGAATGACTATATTATTATCGTTTATTATTGATATTAATCTTTGCAACAATACCACCTCCAGGGACAGCGCGAGGGGGGGCAATCGGGGCAGTTGCCCAGGGCCTCGCGATTTTAAAATTATAATCAAGGCCCCGCAGTTCTTAAATGATATTTGATACTGTTCAGAGATTAGTTAGTTTGGATAATATGTAATGTGACTGTTATTTATTTTTCCCGAGGCCCCGCAAATCCTATAGCGCCTTTCCTGACCACCTCACAAGCACAACAGTAGAAACTAGAAAGTTTCAATAAATGAGGGATGCTCTTGAGGGCCAAGCACTTACTCTCTAGCACTTACATAGTTTAACTAGCTGAACTAGCAGAGTGCACCAAGTAGCACGAACTAAATAATAATAATAATAAAAATATGGAATTTATCTTAAAAGCCCTATTCATCATTAATTGGTTATTGATACAATACTGCAATGATATCATATTATATTGACCAATTTGATTGTGTATTTGTGTGTCCGTGAATAGATTATATTAAAAATAGCGAACCCATTTTAATATTTATCGACGACCTAATTTAACCTTTTTTAGTAATTGATATAACTCAAAATTAATCGTGTATGTGGTATGAGGGATAATGGAGCACTAAATAATTTAATTTAAAATAGGCCTAAATCTATGACTGGAAACTGTGCAGACCGGTGTAACTATTCGAATTGGTCCTCAAATGTTTACAGAGGCGAAGAGTATATCCATATTTATTGGTTCCAAATTATTTTAAAAGCATTTTCAATTTTTTTTTTCATTTTATACAGACTTAGGCAGGCGCGGACTGGTAAAAAAGGGCATGGGATGCTACATAATTCAAAGGGCAAATAACAAAAATGTGTGGAGCAAATTTAAAATATGTAGATTATGTATAAAATATTGAAAATATGGAAAAATCGTAAATAGGTACCAAGTTATAACAAATATTCAAACAAAATTGTACAATATTAGATTAAAAACAAATAAGATCGAATATATTTTAGAGTAAGGGATGCTGCTGCAGCATCCCAGCATCCCAACCAGTCCGCACCTGGACTTAGGAATGTTTACATACTATGAATTTTTGCAAGTATAGAGGTAACTGAGTTTTTTGTTTCATAGAAGATAATTCATGATGGTTTTTAATTTAAATTTTGGCTAAAATGCACTTTACCATCCCCCGCAAAATTTTCGATTTTTTTTTTTGGAACATACTTATATTAACTATTTAAGAACGATGGSGCAATCAGAATTTGTCGGTTGGACTTAGTTTCGAAGTTAWTGGCTTTGGAAGTTAGCAATTTTGTGTTTTTTACGCATGAGCGCAACGCTGCGTTTATCACGTCTTTTACGATTCTTTTGATTTTTTTTCTCGAAACTTACGWACTCGAATTAAACGCAGCGTTGCGCTCATGCGTAAAAAATGCGAAATTGCCARCTTCTAAATTCCATAACTTCGAAACTAAGTTTCACCGACAAATTCTGATTGCACCAACATTCTTAAATAGTAAATATAAGTATGTTCCAAAAAAAAAATCGAAAATTTTGAAGGGGGTGGTGCATTTATTTTGTTCCTTAATTTTTTTAAATTATCATATATATAATAATATTAAAAAATATAATATATACACGGCCATACAAGTATAGACTGTGATTTAATCGTATAAATCGTATAATATGATCTATACAGTATACACACCAATACGGTCAATACACCATAGATATTATAACCACAGAAACGCCGCGTTTTCCGTCCACGCATTACATATTTACATATCGATTATTCCTCCATGGACAAACACGTATCACTACCACCGCCACTAGCTTATCATGGGTTGGGCGGTGAGGCAGGACTGGGACGACGGAGGTACAATTTTTATAATTTGTATTTTGTATGCCGTTTCTGTTCGAGGCCATTTTGCGAATGTTTACACTTTACATCGTCGTTCGGTGAGAGTTCAGTCACCGCGTTCACTGGAGCTTCGTATAATCGTATAGGAATCTTAAAATCTTCACCCTCCGCACGCACATTGGTGATCAACAGTCGATACGACGATGGCCTACAGATCTAGGTAACTATGGACAGTAAACAAACTGCGATCTTTTAAGTGGATAGGTGGTATCTACAACAAATTATTGTTGTCGTTACATGTTATTTATGATATTGTACGTCATTTGCTAATCGAAATCTATTGAGTATCTTCATTCTTCACATTACTTTGTAGTCTATATGTCTGGTGGTTATTCTCTGTCAATTCAGTGCCCGAAACTGTTCATCCATTGAATTATTTAATATCATTTTTATTTGTTTCTTCGTGTTTAGTCGTGGTGGTTTTGGTAACACAAGAGGAGGAAATCGTGGGACTACTTTCAATTCGAATTATGGCAGTTCAAGAGGTCGTGGTGGAAATAACTATAACGATAGTTACAGAAGCCGGGGTAATAGTTCATTTCGTGGGTCTCGAGGGGGTATCCGAGGAAACAGTGGATCTTGGTCCACTAGTTCACCATCTACCGGTGGTTATAGCACTATGAATCGCAATAGTGGATCCAACTGGTCATCTCAAGGAGACTCGAATTATGAATCAAGAAATCGCTATTCTGGTAAGATTTACATCTTAAATTATTAGCACAAATGTTATTGTAAAATAATCCAATGGGTCTTCATTGTAGGTATAGAAATACTTTTATACATAAAATMAAATCACATTTTGACTTTATTGGAATGAGGATGGTAATTTTTAAACAGTTATATTAATTCAATATAACAATATATTATCATAGGAAAGAGGTGTTGAAGATTTTAAGCAATTTATTGTGATTAATTTGTAACAGTTTGTTACTATACCAATAGTTCAATTATTTAACATTTATTTTAATCCTATTCGTTTTAGTAGATATCTATAATATGTGATTTAAATTAATTGCTTTAGAAAATTAAAATTTTTGATTTTTATTATTTCATTATCTACCTATGTCTAGCTTATGTTATAATTGTGATTTATAAATATTAGATTCTTATTTTCACTAAATTATAAATTAAATTTGACTAAACCATAATAATATGCTACAATAACTATATTTACCTAAAGTAGGTTTTAAAATATTTAGTGATTAAAAAAATATTAATGAATCTGTATTAAGCCATCATAAGAATTTTAGCTTTATTTTTAACATGAAGTTAATTTATTTAAGTAATTCATTATAATTGTATGTATATTGTATGTTTGTACTTATTGCTATTGATATTTATAATTATAGGTAATAATGATCGATATTCAAGTAGTCATAATGATGATTACAGGCGGTATAAAGAGGTATGTTTAGTAATATAAAATAACTATTTAGCTGTGATTTCAATTTACAATTGGGCGTTGGGTATCACCTAACAATGCTTAATATATTTGTTTTAATAAAGTAGAACATTTAGTATAATTAAACAGYATACATTATAATATTAAGTTTATTAATTATGTAGGGATTATATTTATTTTAGTTAACAGTGTAATTTTAAAAACCTTAACAATARTATTAAATTYTACATACATTATTTAAATGTAGTATTTCTAATAATATATTATAGTATTATACATATTAAATTTAAAAAAAAAATTGACATGTTATATATTTGAAAATTTAAAAAAAAAGCCCCATAAAGGAATTTATAGATATTATATTTAACCTGGTATCAGAAAATAGATTATACTCGTAGCTTCATATATATTTCATGTATCAGAGTCTAATTATTTTCAACTAAAAAAATTCTTCTTTCGGTTACAACAATTTTAATATAAAGTGATAGTTTTATACTACTGATTCTTATTCAAGGATATTCACAGTAATTATTTAATACTGATATAGTAATATCTCATAACAATTTTCAAAGATGCTATAMAAGCAGATTAATAATATACAATACATTTTTAATTAATGGGAATACTGTTAACATTTTATGTTGAATTGGATCTACACAAATACTATTTATATGTTGCTACTACAAATAAATAAATTGAATGGAAGACTGCCCAGTGTCTCAATTGTCTTGCAAGATGATAATAACATGAGTAAACAATAATTAAAGCATTTATGTTTAAAGTTATTTAATAAAATAATAACAATAATAATAATAATCGTTATTATTATTGATGATGTATTTTTAAATTATATTAGGTATAATGATATGTTATCACATCCATATATATATATATATATATATAATATTATCTATTAAATAAATATTTAAAAATAAAAGATGAGATTGACACACTGATTGAAAATTGCACGCAGGGTGGAAGAAGTCACCGAGACTCAGACATGGGTGGATATTCAAGTTCCGGTGATGATTTTGGCCGTTATAGTAGTGGTGGTGGTGGCAGCAGTTATGTAGACGAACGTAGTAGCAGATCATCCTATGCTCCTGATAATAACTATGGAGGAAGTAGCAGTTACAGAGGCCGTGAGAGTTCACGTGATTATGGTTCAGATTTCCGTAAGCCATTGCCTCCTGATGATGATCGTTCTTCGCCACCTTCCCCGAGGTATTCTGGCCCATTAAATAGAGGCAGGGGTACTAGGGGATTCCGTGTTGCTGAAAGACCTGGTATGAGGGGTAGGTCTTCTGCCAGTGTGTCTTATAGAGGATCATTTGGAGGTAGTGCAGGACTTATCAAACGCAAGCGACTTGAACCTACTCCAGGTTGGCGCACAAATCCCATTCGTAAAGGATATGATATGGCCAATAGAAGAATACATACAGTCAAAAGGTAATTAAATGGCGACTGTCATGTTTATATTATGAAGCGTTACAAAAGATGATGAAAACAGTATCATATCTAAGTAAATAGTATATATATTATATATAAAATATTTAAAAAAAACAACATGAAACCTATCTATAGATTATAGAGCCATTGGGCAGAATGAAAAAGTATTAAATTGACTAAGTTGATTAATCATACAAATTACTTTCAAGTAATTGTTGATGTTCAAAAAAATATATAAAATGCAATTGATGATCACTGTTCTGACTATAATTCATTAAAGATTGTTGTGTTCACTCATGCGTGTACTATGGATAATATTTTACAAGGAAGTTTTTAAATACACCATTGAATTAAATTTGGAGTATAAAAGATGAAATACATAGATACAGTAAATTGTTCATTCAGATGCCAATATTAAATATCATCAACATTTGTCCATATACAATATAATGCTTATTATAAATAATTTGTTTATATTGAGTTATATTCTATGAATTAATGAAACAAACTCAATTGAAGATATAATTTTTGGATGAACTCCAGATGAAATAATAATGTCAAATTATAATGCCATAMCATTTATTATTTGCAACAAATCACATATAAGTATAAATTTTGAAATTACCCTATTTTAATTGATTAGCATTACATGAAATACGTATATATAGATTGTATACACATTACACCGCTGGGCACACAGTCATATAATAAAAAAGTTGTAATATTATAATTATTGATTGAAGATAATTTTGAATTTTCTACTTCTTYGCAATTATTAGCTGATACATCAATACGAAACATATTGTCTTGTGTCATTCATTTGATATTTGTATTCAATGTCTACAGCTCTGTTTGTTAACTGGTATATACCTGCTATTTTAATGTTGTATTTTTAAATTAGRTTTTTTTTCTTAAACTGAATCCAGTTTCAATGGGGTTATTTTATTAACTACAGTRATATTATAAAAGTGTTTAGATTTTTCTATYAAATTCTAAATACATTCTTGTTTTATAAAATAGTACSTAACTTTAAATATTGTACTCAAGGTAATTTATTTAAGGGCCTACAATTCAATATTAATTGTTTTTTTATAATTTGATTTGATTTCAAAACAACATTTAAAAAACAAATTATATTGTTTACAATTTTCTACAGTCATAATTTATCGAGGGATAAATTTTGTTATCTTTATTAACTTACCTTCTAATGCATATTATTTTTGCATCTATCTTACTGTCTATTACAGTAGGTTTAATAGCAAAAAAATCAAAGCATAGTTTTTTCCATAAAACATTAAATCAGACTCCAGGATACTGATAAGTACTATATTAGTTATTACATAAAGTTTATTTTATTTTATATTTTCTTCTATGAACACTTATACAATAATCATTGTATTTTTTAGTATTGGAATAATTCCATGTTACTATTCAAGGTATTTTATTCTATATTTATAATCTGTGCCATTTAATTATGTTTTTATTTTAAATTAAGTTAAATTAATATACAATTGAATGWTATTATTTATTATTATAGGTCATGCAGTATTAATCAAATATCAATAAGTTATATTTTAAACATAAAAATTATATCAATACATTTTTTTTATAGTTTAGCTATAGTAATCCTTTAAACATTTTTTAACAGAACTAGTATGCGAGATCATGATGATTATCGTGCAAGAAAAATTGCAGAATTCAGGGAAAAAACTCGTGTATGTATAAATAATGAAATAGTAATATTTTCTTTGTTTATAATTATGTTAATATTTTAGCAACTTCGTGAACGTGTAAGGTCTCCATCAGTTGATGAAGAAGAAGTAGAAGAGGAGGTTGAAGAGGAAGTAGAGGAAGAAGAATCAGTCAATGGTGATGATGGAGAAAGACCCGAGGATGATGGTGAAAAGAAGGACAAATCCCCCAAAAAGAAAAAGAAAGTTATTAAAAAAGTAATGAAGATTGTTAAGAAAAAAGTGAAAAAACCAAAATTAAATGGTGATTTATCTAAATCTGTTTCTGGAGATAAAGTTTCAGTAAGTGATTAATGTATGAATCAACAGATATATATAATTTGTAATTATTTATTTATGTTTTATTTATTTTCCATATTATAGCCTAGAAAAACTGAAAACAAATTGTTAGATTCTAGAGGAGAACCATTTATTAAACTATTGTGTCCACATTGCGAAGTAACCTGCAAAACATTTAGAGTAAATAGACATTTTACGATTTAAATGTTCATGTTAAATACATTGTGTATAATAATTTTAACTGTGTACATTTAGGAATACGAGATACATTTATTGAAAATACGTCATCGCACAGCCATGTCTCAATTAGCCCGCAAACGTAAGCATGAATTATTCATGTTTCGCCAGGATCAACGGAAAGAACAAAAGGAAATTGATGACAAAGCATCTGAAGATGATCCAAAAACTGAGATTAACTATTGCAAATTATGCCAATTAAATTTCAAACAACCAAAAAGTGATCACTTCAGTAGTGTTTTGCACAAAGTGAGTGTAATATTGTCAAAATTAATTATGAACAAAGGTGTATTGTAAATTATAACTTATGACAAAAACATTTTGTTTCAGAAAATTAAACAATTTCTTCAACCGGCTTGTAATGTTTGTCATTTGATGTTTGCATCGCCAATGCGTTATGAGCACCATTTATGCAGCACCAACCATTTAAAGGTGATGGTTCTTTTTTTTTTTTAATTATAAGGTTCATCCAATTACTTTTATATATGATTTCATATTATACATTTTTTGCTTGTTGCAGAAAGTTGATATTTATGATCGTCGAACTAAACGAATGGCTGCTGTTCCAAGTGCAGATGAAGCTGAAGGCGATGTGGATATGGACAATTTTATGGTTCTAGATTCTGTTGGTTCTGGGGATGGTGAGTCATTATACACCTTCAAAAATAAAATAAAAAAATTTACATTTATTATTTTATATCTTTAGATGAGGGATCAGAAGAAGATGAAAATGCTCAAGATGGCAAAGATGATGGAAAAAAGAAATCCAAGTCTAAAAAAGAAATAAGTCTTGGTAAGTTATAAATCTTGTAATTTTTAAATTCCATTTATTTGTTGTGATATTTTTTACTATGCAATGCAATGAGTAAATTATTTATTTATTTATTTTTTTTTTTTGTAAGATTTTAAGAATAACTAATATTTATATAATTTATAATTCTTACTATACTAACTTTAAAGAGTTTTACGAAAAAAAATTCATATTATGTAAAATTTTTGATATGTAATTTTAGAAGACAAATACTGTTTTTCAATAATTGTATAAGTATTTTTACTAATCAATGCAAAATACTTTTGTAATTTTTATATCTAGAAAACCACATTGTAATGACACTAGTACAGGGAGTAGTAAATACTTTTGTAATTTTTATATCTAGAAAACCACATTGTAATGACACTAGTACAGGGAGTAGTAAATACTTTTGTAATTTTTATATAGGTAAAGAATTCTGTAAAAAAGTTGAAGTATATTACTGTGAATTGTGTAAGTTCAATTTGCCCCCACATGATGATGTTGAACAGCAATTGAATTTACATTGCCGTAACCGTGTACATTTACAACGATATGTGCAACATTGTGAAAAAAATAAAACTCAAGAAAAGAATGCTGAAGTTGTTAGCAAGGAATGTACTGATGAAACAAAATCTGACAGTGACTCTTCCAATAAAGTATACAATTTAAATACAAAATATAAAATATTTTGTCATTTCTAATGCACATAGACTCAACTCTTAATTGCAATTCCAGGGTATTGGAAATGATGATAAAAATGAAACTTCTGACAATGGCGACGATTCATCAAGTCTAAATATTCAGCATGATGAGGAAATGAAAAATGAATTTGATTGGGCTACCTTGGACACTGTCATTGAAATTAATAAAATTAAAGATGACTCAGATAATGAAAAATCTGTAGGTGATACAGAGTCTAAATAAACATTTTTAAAGTAATGTGGTGTAATAACAGATATGCTACTACTCAAATTGTTAGTTTTGTATCTGTTGTCTATATCTAATCTTCTGTAAGACAATACAATTTGACTATTGTTTCCTCTTTAAACGTTCGTRAAGTAGCTATAATTGTTTTTTTTTTATATTCAACTTAAAATTAATAATTGTAAGTTTTTGATAGTTATATGTTAGTTGTACTAAAGTTTGTGTAATTTTCTGTCAACTATTTTTAAGCTTTTTATAGTTTAAAGATTAAGCTCTTATAATTTTAATGTAAAATATTTATAAATTAAAATGAAAAAAAAAATAGAAATCAGTTATTCTTATATTTAGTTTTGAAATCTAAAATTAAAAATAACAGTCTTGGTTCTTATCCAGTGTTGAATAGTACCAACCGAAGTGTGTAGCCAAGAAATTTATTTTTTTTTAAACTTTTATTTAGTTGACCTGACAGACGTATCCTGTTATGAATATTGAATATGAATCGGTATAATTAATAAAAAAAAAAATATGCAAATAAAAAGTGTTTATTATTCTATTTATGATAAACRTTGTATATTATATTATACAACATTCTTTTCTTTTYYTTTTTTTTCTTGCACGTATATAAATTGTTTTGTGGATAWTTCGACACGGCAACWGGTGGCATATAATTGGRCATGTGAAAAACATAAATTTTCAAGATTGATGCCAYAAATACTTAGCGACTGCCCTTGAGATTTAACGACATTGCACAGCCGCACTGGAAATTGAATCCAGTTAAAGTCGAATGGCATATCGTTTGGAATCAAAGGAATCCGTGGAATCAGAACGTCTTYGCCTTTGTACTTCCATTTCAAAATTGTGGCTTYGTCGCTTCGATGCCGTTCATARATTTCTTCACCACAAGTCGGGTGCCGTTACAAKACATTAGTTTATATTTTGCAAGATAATGATTACCGATCCAATTTTTAATTGTAGATYATAAGGTGGTAATTCAGGCAATTCCAGCGAATTTAAAAACTCCGTTGTATAATTGACAACATCATGGTTAGTAACGTAATCAATCGATTTATATGCCATCAATTCGCCAGCCATCTTATTTTGAATCTAAAATTCAATTCGTTGACATCAACGTTWTTTGCAGTCAATTAAACTCTTTCGCACAACCATGTCTATACATGATCTTTGTAATTATGAGCAATATTTGGAAAAACCTCGATGAGTTCGGTTATAGTTTCAGTAAAGTGACAAAAATTGGTAGGAAATATGATSTTTCCAGACGATAAGTCATCAGGTATTTTGCCATTACCAATATCGAACAATTCAACAATTGTTTTGAAACTTCTCCGGGTGGGTCGTTAATACTCGTTATGCGATTCGACTATGATGTTCATATTTAATTTGAGTGGTTTTAACGTCTTTCCATAAAATGGATGACTTAAAACATGCGTTAAGTTCGTCGGCTGGCGTTGATCGTGGTATTACTAGAAGTGTTTGGCGAAAATCGCCTGCCAATAAAATCTTTGCACCACCAAACCGGTTTTGGTTCTTTCTTAAATCTTGCAACATGTGGTCTAATGTTTCCAAAGATTTTWTGTGTGCCATCGCCCATCGTGCACTCATCCCAAACTATTAATTTGCTCTGCTTTAACACGGGCCATCGCAGAATTTCTCGAAAGTTTGCAAGTTGGTGTTTCATTTATTTGTATTTTCAACGCAACATGAGTGCAGAATGCTGTGCAGCTGTTCCAACAACGTATGAAGCTCGATAAGAATTAAACGCAACATTTCTATGCTGTTGATTTCGATTCCGCTCAACTTCATTCCTCGCTTGCTCTTCAGTCTTCAGTTTGACTGGCTCTTAAATATCTTTGACTCGCACTTCGCAGCATTGAAACTTTTGAGAGTTCTGCGACTTAAGTTTCTACGTCTAATTGCTGGRTTGTTGTCATTTTAAAAAACGAAAATTCAACTGTAAATTAAAGAAACTCATATTGT